CCCACCTCCAGCCGCTGAGTGTCTCTTGCCTGGTGGGCAGAAACCCCCAGAGAGCAAAAAAAGTGAAACCAGCCCATTTGCCTTTTTTATTTTTACTTTTGGGGGCAGCTTTGCTTTCAGAAACAGGCCCCCTGGGCTGCAGCTGAATCCCTTTCACTGGGAGTTTTGCTTTGCACCGAGGTGTGGCTGGCCCGTCCCAGGCACTGGCTGCCCCTGGCTCTTGTCCACACCCCTCACCTTCCCGGCAGACCGGGCTGCTCAGAGCCCCAGGCGAATGCCTCCCAAGGGGCCTTCAAGGACCCCCCGGGGCTCTGCCAGGCTCTGAGCCACCCTTAGTTCACAGAGGGTTGGGGGGGCTGAGGCCAGAGAGGGCCAGGGGCCGGAGAGGTGCAGCCAGGATGTGAACTTGGCCTTCTCATCTCTGGACCCCGGGTCTCCAATGGGCCAAGCTGGCTGGGGCACCATTGGCCACATGTCACTATCTCGGAGTGTGCCAGGTCTGGGCGGAGACTTGGCCGGTCCCCTTTCAGCAGGGGTGCTGGACGGCAGCACCCCATGCGCTCTGGTGCGCGGACGGAGGCCCAGCTTGGAGAGGTGGGGGCGCAGAGGGGGAGCTTGGGGGTGTGGAAGCAAGGAGCACCCAGTGGATGGGGTGGGCGTGGCTTCAGGGGAAGAAGCAAGGGCAGGGAGTCCCTGGGGGCAGACCAGAGCGTGGCCACGCTCGTGCCCTTTTCAGAGGCCGGAGGGCCAGTGTGTGGGGCCTGGCAGTGGAGAACGGGTGGGGTGTCGAGGCCCACCCTGGGCATAGCGCCCGTTCCATGGTGCCAGGGGCTGGGACCTCTGCCTGTGGGGACGTGCAGGCCTGGGGGGGCGTGGGGGGGGCGTGGCTGGGTCTCCGTTCTCAGTGGGCGTGGGTGTCTGCGCACAGGTGTGTGCCCACATGCACCCCTGGGGCCCCCCGGCCCCTGTCTTGGGCGCCTGTGGCCGTGAGAGCGGGGAGGAGCCTCGTGTTCGCCCTTCACTTTGGAGGCTGTGGCAGGACCCCCCCCCGGCCCCAGGGCAGTGCCGGGGAATTTTCCGTGGGGTCCGTCCTGAGAACTGCAGGGTGCTAGCCGCCCCCCCGCCCTCTGCGCCCCTGCATGCTGGTGGCACGCCAGTGTGGCAGCCAGAAACGTCCCAGACCCCAGACGTGGCTGCATCCCCTGGGGGCAGAGACGCACTGGCTGAGAACTGCCGTCCTAGCAGACGGTTTCGGTTCTCACAGCGAGCCCTGCTTCCCCTTCCCAGCGAGGAAAAGCTCTGTGGCTTGTCCCTGCACGGGCGGGGGCGGGGCGGCGGCGGGCCCTGCCTGGCAGGCTCTGTGTGTCCCTTCCTCCCGCTTGGCTGGTCTTGCTGCGATGTGCAGCAGGACTCACCGTCCTGCCTGTCACTTTGATCCGAGTCCAGGCGCACGCACCTGTCTGGGGTCCAGTCTCTGGGCACGCTGAGCGCCGTGACGGACGCAGAACCGCCAGGTGCTGACGTGTCTTGGACAGACACTCTTGGTACCTGGGCCGCTCCGTGGCCTGGGTGGACTGCAAGGCGGGTCTGGGTTTGCAGGCCCCAGCCCGCAGCCAGTCCTCGTGGGCGTTGGCAGCGGGCGGCAGCCGGAGGGGGCGAGGGGCCAGACTGCTCTGCCACGCTGTCCCCCGGCTGTGGGCTTCCCTGAGCCTGTTTGCATCCCTCAGAAACGGGGTAACATCAGCACCTATTTCATAGCTGTGAAAAGCTTTGTAAGTTGTCTGGGGGTTTTCATCCTGAGTGGTGGGTGCCAGAGCACCTGAGGGAAATGGGTGAATAGATGCGGCCAGGATCCCCAAGGGACAGGAAGCGGGTCCCCTTCCTCCCCAACCTAAACATCGTCCACCCTCATCGTGCCTGAGGGTCCCCCCGCAGGGCGGCTCTGTGGTGGCTGGACCTTGGGGCAGGCGTGGTCAGGAACCTGTCACCAGCAAAGGGGGACACCACCATGTCCCCGGCAGCTGCGCGACATAGCCAGGCTGAGGCCCTGGTCTGGGCAGCGGTTCCCGCTGGTGTGGGGGCTGGTGTGGGGGCTGGAGTAGGGGTTCTCCGCCGCAGGGCCCCTGACCCTGCCCACTGTCAGTCTGCAAAGTCCCATGTTTTTAGCACCTACGTGGGGGGGTGTCTGAGGTGGGGCCACCCCTGCCCATGCCTAGAGGAATTCTGGGCTCGAAGCTTCCACGACCTCAAGTTAAAGGATGTCCCCAAGTTCTGGAAGCGGGGTGTGGACGCACGGGGTGCCCGGTGCCGGCCTGGTGGGTGCTGCCCTGTGACACATTTTTTCCCGTCGCGCTTGCTCCTTGCCGGGGAGGCCTCTGGGCTGCCAGATCCCCTCACCTTCTTGGAGGGGCGCGTGCCTGAGGGCTGTTGTGCTAGGGGGCGGGGCGGGGCCTGCTTATCCAGCTGCTCACGTGAGATCAGCGGGGAGACAGGCCAGGGAGCTCCAGCTCTGTGCCGCCCCCCCCCCTCCAGGAAGCCTCCCCTGAACACCCCCAGGAGTCCCAGATCTGGTCCTGGTGGATGTGCTTATGTGACCGCTACCCCTCCTAGAATCCGAGCCCCTAGAGGCCAGGGGTTGTGCAGCCTGCTGAGCACCGGGTCCTGGCCCAGGGCCTACCCTCGACAGGTGAGAAGGCTGTCGCCCAGCTCCAGAGGGTGAGGTGGAATTCGAACCCAGACCCAGCTCTGTTCAAGGCTCTTGTTCCCGTGGGGAGACTGGAAGGGCTGGCGACAGGCTTCTGAGCAGACAAGGGAGGCAGGCAGCACGGCCCCGCCAGGGCCTCCTAAGGGAACCGCGAGGGTGCGGGGGGCCTGCCTGGCGCTGGCGTGGGCATGTTGCCGTCGCAGCCGCTGGGTGCTGCCACCTCGCAGGGCCCGCGGTCGGGGGGGGCGGTCCCTCTGGCAGGGAACCAGGTGTAGCTCTGTCTGCGGCGCCACCCCTCACCTCTGCTCTGCCCCCGCCTGGCCCAGCTAGTGGTGACCCCCGGTCCTGGCGGTCTCTCCCTGCCCAAGCGCCCTTGCCTGTGTCTCTTGCCTTGGTGAAGCCGCCCTGACCCGGAGTCTGTCATTTGAAGGTGTCAGGTGTGTTCGCTGAGGTGTGCAGCACGACCTCGGTGCGGTTCAGAACTCGCCCCCACCCCCAGACACCCCTGAACACTTCTGCCCCCGCCCGGAGCCCCTGGCTGTCTGACCGTTTCCTTGCCGCCCCCCCGCCGCCCTCTGGTTTTGCCTGTCGATGGTTCACAGCGACAGGGTCCCACACTCTGGCTGCTTTAAGTCCCCGCGACGCCGAGGTCCGTCCCACCCTGCAGCCCGAGTGAGGGCTGCATTCCTTTCGGTGGCTGAGTGGCAGTCGGTGGCCCGCGTCTGTCCTGAGTCCTGCTCTTCGTTCCTCGTGGTGCACGTGAGTGCCCTGCCCTCCCAAGGCATTGAACCCCACGTGGGGTCCCGAAGCCCTTCTCTGTACATCGAAATGTAACACCGTGTGAAGGTGCCGTCAACGCGCAGACCCCAAAAATGGTAGTTTCACGCGACTCAGCCCCCTCCGCCCGTGGCTTGTGTACACGCGCACGTTTATTTTTCTAGCACCGATTGTCACTGTTTAGTACAAATGTCTCCGTTTTGCACGAACAGCACCTCTGTTCTGTGCTCGGTTCTCGCTCCCGATGGCGTGTTGGGGGAGTGGCTCGGGCCGAGTGGGGGCCTCCCCGTCCGCCCACCGCCCCGTGCATGACGCTTGGGTCTCTCTGGTTTTCCGCTGACGCTGTGGCTGCTGCCGTGATAGACTGAGCACATCTGTCTTTGTCCGGAGAGAGGACCCCTCTTGGGCGTTGGGGGGGCTGCCGGAGGGGACGGAGCGCACGTCCCCAGTGTCCCACTTACTGCCCCGTTGCCCTCCGGACAGCTGCCCCTTCCGGGTGGGCGAGAGCCCCCAGAAACATTTCCATTTTCTTACAAAGCAGCTTCCCTTCAGAGCAGGGGAGGGCCCATGACGCAGGTGTGGAGGGAAGTGGGGGCCCCATCCTGTGTCACTCCTGCCGGTGTGAGGAAGGAGGGGGCAACGTGATGGCCCGTGTCCACCCCGTGGGGTCCCTCTGTGCCCAGTGGGCCGTGAGGCTTGGAGAGGCTCAGCCACCACCGAGGGCGGCCCATCGGCCAGTTGGCAGGGTGGGCAGGGGCTGATACTGCCTTCCTGAGCCTCGGTTTCCCATTTGCGACACGCAGGGGTTGACGCCGCCCTGGTGGGTGTGCATTGGTGCACTCGCCTGTGGCGGGGGGGGGCCGGTGTGGCCGCTGAGAGGGTCGGGGAGCCTCAGCCCCGCTCCCTGTCGCTGTGGGGCCTGCGGCCACCCCTGAGCTCCGCGCTGGCTCCGTCAGCTGCCCTCCTCCTGAGGCCCCGGCATCGGCTTTGCAGCCGCCGCCACCGGCACCGCCGCATGTCTTCTCCCGTCATTTATGTGTTGCACCTGGCACTCGTGGGGAGCCTGCTGGGGGCCCCGACTGGCTGTCCGTGGGCAGAGTGGATGGTGCTTTGGGTGGGGGACAGACGTGGGGAACCAGCAGACTGTAGGGTGTCCTTCGGTGGCGGGCCGATGAGCAGGGGAGTATTGGTGGGGCGGTCACGTGGGGACCCTGACTCAAAAGGGCCCCCGCTGGCTCGGACGCCCTCTGTCACTGTCTTGAGATTCTAAGTAATTTCCAGACAATGTCCCCCAGTCATGCTGGCAGCGCCGTGGGTGCAGAGCCAGGCAGGGGGCCTGGAAAGGGCCCGCTGGGGAGAGGATTGCGTACGGCCAGCGTGCGGGCCTGCACAGCGGCGTGTCTGAGCCGCGGGAAGAGAGGCTGGGGCAGGAGCACAGCAGCACCGCCCCCGGATCCCGCCCCGCGCTGGCCTGCCGCCCTGCCGCCCGGCCCTCAGCTCCCTCTGTTTGGCTCCACAGGTTGACCCCCCACTACATCTACCCGCAAGCCATCGTCCAGCCCAGCGTGGTGATCCCGGCCGCCCCCGTCCCCTCGCTGTCCTCGCCCTACATCGAGTACACGCCGGCCAGCCCGGCTTACGCGCAGTACCCGCCGGCCACCTACGACCAGTACCCCTACGCCGCCTCGCCCGCCTCGCCCGCCGGCTTCGTGAGCTACAGCTACCCGGCCGCCGTGCCCCCGGGCCTCGCGGCCGCGGCCCCCGCAGGCACCGCCTTCGTGCAGTACCAGCCCCCGCAGCTGCAGCCCGACAGGATGCAGTGAGGCCGCGGCCCCGGCTGCGGCCCGTCGCCCACACGCCCACCAGGCGAGCGGCCGGCCGGGCTTGGGGTGCGCACCGGCACCTGTGCTCTGGGGACCCCAAGACCCGTGCCCGCACCCCGGATGGCCCAGAAGCCACTTCCCTCTGTATCCAGGACCTGCCACGCGTCAAGGGAGGGCTTTGAGAGAAAGACGGAGCGAGAGCTCCAGAGAACGCAAGCCAGACCTCCCCGCACCCACAGCCCGCCTTCCCCTTCACCTGCCTGAGCGCCGGGCCGACGTGCCCCTGGCCTGTCCCCCAGTGTCCACCTCCCCACTCCCCGCAGACCCGGCTCCCTCAGGCTCTGCAGAAACTGTGTCCTGTTCAGAGATGCCTTACTCCAGGGAAACCCAAACGAGTGACGTGAATTGACTGTTTGCTGTCACTCCGCCCGCACAAGCTGTGAACGCAGGAGAATGTGTGTAGAAACCACCGCCTCGTGGAATTCCAGTTCCCGGCCAGGCCACGGGGGTGGCTTCTCGAGCCCCCGGGCAGCAGGGCCGCCAGCCTCGGCCCGGCCCCTGGCCCCTGAAGCACTGCAGCCTTTTTTTCTTACCGTCATTGTTTTGCTACTAAGATGATTCAGAATTTCAGTTTATTTTTTTCAATGGAGGCTCCTGCCCCGAAGAAACCAGGACCTGGGTTTGACTTTGAGATGCTCCCTCCTGTCCGTGGCTCCGCCCGGGGAGACGGGGACAGCGTTTCTGTTTGAAAAAGCGTCCTGTCGCTTGAGCACCAGGAGCCCCTCCGAGGGTGGACGTCTCCAGACCGGAGGGCTTTCTCAGCGACAGTAAGTTGTCTCAGAAGCTGGCCCCCGCCCCTGCAACCGTTGCAGGGGACAGAGAGGGGAGGGCCCTAGGTGCTGCTGGCGGAGGGGCCAGGCACAGCGTCCCCACCCCCTCCTCCGCGTTCCCTGCTGCCCACCGGCCAGAGCCGAGACCAGCTTGCCGCGGGGGCGCGGGGGCGCGGGGGCGCGAGGAGGTGAACCCAGCACGCAGAGGGGGCTCCTGGGGCCCGCCCGGCCTTAGGGGATGGGCGGGTGAGATGAGGGACAGCCTGGCTGAGGGGCTTGGGGGCGAGGGCAGGATGTTGGGGGGCGCTGGGGGTGTGCCTTCAGACCTACCTCAGGGCAGCGGGAGGCCTCGGGGCCGGCGGACGCAGGCGGCGCTTGGCGGCACGCCTCGGGGAGTCCAGGCCCCGCAAATACAGGTAGCTAATGTTATAAAAATATTTTTATTAGGATGTTCAGGTTACAGGAATAAAACTTGTTTTCTTTAAAGACGAAGCGGGTCTGTGGCTTGTCTCTCGACGTGGGTGCCCTCGCACCCCGCCTCCCGCACCGCAGCCATCGCTTGCAGGCCGAGCCAACCCTCCCCCCGCGCCCGCCACAGGGGCTTCCCCGCTCAGCAGGGTGCCCAAGCCCCGGGGAACCACCGGCTGGCTGGGCCTCGGGGACCTGCACCGAGCAGGGCCCTGGGGGCTGGGGGTGGGGACCCGCACGGTGATTGGCGGCTCCGGCAGAACCCCCAGGAGAAGGGGGGGTGCAGAGGAAGCTGGCGGCCGTGCATCTCCCCTCGGGGTCCCGGCAGCCGGGCGGGGCACAAGGCCACAGAACTGGGAGGGGGAGGCCCCAGCCACGGGATGGGCCCGGCACCTCCGGGATCTGCACCAGAGCCCGGCTCGGCGCTGGGCAAAGCCTGAGGGCCTTGGCGAGGAGGTGTTGGGTGAGGCTGGAGAGGGTGTTAATTCACTCCCATTTTTTCAGTGGCTTGTTTGTTCAGTCTGCGAAACGTGCGCTGCCTCACACGCAGGGCACTGGGGACAGTCTAGTGGGGGAGACACGACAGACACGCAAATGGAGTCATCACAGACACTCACGGTGAAGGAGCCCTCCCAGGGCAGTAGAGAGTGGGTTCTTGGCAGCAGGCACCGCAGGTGAAAAGGTCCTGGGCAGGCGCAGGGACCAAGGAGGCCAGGGGCTGGAGGAGGAGCAGCGGGGGAAGGAAGGAAGGAGGTGAGCGTGAAGGAGGTACGTTTGTCGCTGGGGAGACGGCAGAGACCCAGCTCAAACTCCGTCATGAGCGGAGTCTGGGAGGAATAGCCGCGCAGATGCCGACGGCAGGCTCAGCAGTGTGACCGATGCTGTCAGCGGCAAGTCCCCTGAACCTGGGGACGGGGAGGGGAGGGCGCTGCCGCCGGGAGGGGCACGGCAGGCAGCCGGGCTGTGTGGGACCAGAGGTCCCCGGTGGTCTGGGGGGCCGAGCGGGCTCTCCTGGTGAGGAGGTCAGTCTGGGCAAAGGCTCAGGGGTCCTGGGTGTGATCTGCTTGGAGCCCGTCCCTGTTGAGGCGCCGGGCTTAGGCCCTATAATACGCTATCTGTCCACCCCCCCACCTCCCACACAGTGGCCCACACGTCCACGGTCCCCCAGCACAGAGCCCTCTGTGGCTCTGCATCGTCCGTCCGTAAAGGAGGAGGCAAAGCTGTCACTGGCCCGGAGCCCTGGCCTTGCTGCCTCCCGCCCGCATCCGTCACGACTCACCCTGGGCCTTTGCACTTGCTGTTGAATCCTTGTTTCCCCACATCCAGTGCTGTGCTGGGCACAGCGGGAAATTGGCCCTCAGACACTGAGCTGACTCGGCCAACAGTGAGTAAACATCAGAGATTGCTAGGGGAGGACACGAGTGGGAGTTTTGGGGCCATCCACTTCCGTGGGCGCGTGCTGGGCAGACCTGAGCCAGGGGAGGGGACAGAGAGCAGAGTCACTGCGGAGTCCGTGTGGGACGAGGCAGAGGGACTCACCGCGAGGACAGGCGTGCGGAGCCGGGTGCCTGGGTCTGACCCCACAGGCAGCTCCGCCGACAACTCCACATGGTCCGCCCTCGGTTTTGAAGTGAGACGGGGCCACCCTGATGCGGGGAGGCGACTCGGGTGGACCTGGGACCTTCCCTGCTCCCAGGCGGGGTCAGGATTCGGACCCCAGAGGCCAGAGTCGGGAGGCCATATGCTGCCCTGCCTGGGCACCGGGCTTGGGCCTCCCCACCCCCACCCAGGTCTCCACCTTCCCCTTGCCCCAAAGCCATCCGATCTCAGGCTGCTGAGTCACTCTTGTGTTTGCCCCCCAGAGACGTAAACACCATTTCAGGGGTCCCCAAGGGGCCCCCTCAGGCCTCTTCCAGTCACTTTGAGATTTGTAAATCCTCCCTTTCAGGGGTCCAGGGCCCCCAGCCTCTGCCTAGAGAAGGGTCAGGGATCCTGGGGTCGAGTCAAGTGAGACCCCGGCTGCCAGGGCTCCCTTTACTTAGCAGGAACCCCTGCCGGTCCCTCCCCGCCTGCCCTCTCCTGCCGGCTGGGTCTTAGTTTGCAAACACTGGCAAGGGTCAGGGAGGTCCTTGTGGGGCTCTGGGCTCAGAGGAGACATTTGCGGCAGCCGATAAGGGTTTGGGGGTGGGGAGGAGGCTGCGGGCGCTGCCGGGGTTATCTGGAGGGCCACTCTCTGCCGGCCCATTTCCTGTCGCTATCAGCTGGTGGCAGCCTCTGAGACATGCCTTGAGGCCTCAAAGAAAACATCCTCGGGGGCCCGGAATGGAGGGCTCAGGACGGTGGCAGACCCTGGAGAGCACCCCAAGTCCCCCTTCGTACACTCGGCAGGCAGCCGCTGGTCACGGCAGCGGTCACCGGAGGTGACAGTAATGGCCACAGGGGCTACATCCGTGGCAGGCACCACGCCAAGGGTGTCTCCGTTACCCTCCGGGGGAGCACCCTGGGCCCCCGCTGCACCGGTGGCGGAGTGCAGCGCCGTTCCCCGGCCTCTGAGGAGAAATGCGGGGAGGCGGCCACGCAGGGCCCAGAGGGAAGTCCAGTGAGTCACTGGGGGTGGAGGTGAGAAGCCACCCTGATGGCTGAGAAGCCCACACCGGGCCCTGCCTGTGGAGGAGGGGCCCCGTGTTCCCAGTCGCACGAGACCGTCGCCAGCCCCCACTTGGGGTAGCCTCTCCCCTGTGGACCTGAGGTTGTGCTCAGGGCCCCAGAACTCGTGAAAACTGACAGTCACTGACGCTTTCTATGGCTTCATCTCCATTCTTTCCCTGAAGGCCCCCAGCAACCCATGGGAGGTTGACTGGGTGCCCAGTTCACAGACGGCAAAACCGAGCCTGAGAGACAGGCCCTTCCCAAGCTGAGCTGGTGTGTGGCGGGGTCAGGATTCGGACCCCAGAGGCCAGAGTCGGGAGGCCATATGCTGCCCTGCCTGGGCACCGGGCTTGGGCCTCCCCACCCCCACCCAGGTCTCCACCTTCCCCCTTGCCCCAAAGCCATCCGATTTCAGGCTGCTGAGTCACTCTTGTATTTGTCCCCCAGAGCCGTAAACACCAATCTGGGAACCCCCTGGGGCTGGGGACCATCCAGATGCAACGCAAACAGCGAAGCAGCTGCCTGGTGTGACCTGGGTCTGGGGCAGGGCACCATGTGGGCGGGCACCTGACCCTCCAGACACCTCCCAGGCCTCCTGCGGCAGCTGATAAGTGCCCCGCTCTGCTTATCGGCCCCACTCCCACCTGCTTTACCCCAAACCTCTGTGCACATTGGGGTGCAAGCAGCCTGGAGAGCCAGGGTGGAGTGAGCCCTCCCAGGCCGGCCCCGAAGACAGCGGGGCCGTCCACGTCAGCGACAGCTCAGCTCCTGGGGGCCTCCTGCTGGCTCCCCTGTTCCCTGGCCCTACGACCAGGGCATTTTTGGAGAGAATAAATATAAAGGTATTTCTTTTTCTAAATTATAAAATGAACACTGCTGGGGAAACGCATTTTCAGAATAAAGGAACAGTGTTAAAATAACCTCCATGTGCGTATAAAAACGGTAGGAAGGAAGCAGCCCAGACTTATAGCGGAGTTGACCCTTTTCTCGTAGCACAGTTCTATACTGAGTGTTACAAACTGGGGAACGGTGTTTGGCGGGTGTTCGCCAGCTCCGTGGTAGGGGCACAGTCCAAGCGCTCACAGGGCAGGGTGGTTTCTGCATCCGTCACCTCGCTTGTGTTGGTCTTCTGGGTGTCTCTGATGGGCCTGAGCCGGGCGGGGTCCAGGCGCTGTTCTTCCGTTTTTATCCTCCCTTGAGGACACGCTTGTTGATGTTAGAGAGAAGGGAAGGGAGGGAGAGAGAGAAGTGGGGGAAGCATCAGTGTGAGAGAGAAACCAGTCGGTTGCCCCTTGTACGTGCCCTCACTGGGAGCTGAACCCGCAGCCTAGGCATGTGCCCTGACCAGGAATCGAACCCTTGACTTTTCGGTTTGCAGGACAGCACTCCAACCAACTGAGCCGCACCGGCCAGGGCCCGGAGGCTGTTCTCGGCTCCTCCAGTCTCTTGTCTATGGCAACCCACTCCATCCTCTGAAAAGGGAGCTCAGAACATGCTGCTGCTCCTGGCATAGAAGTCTCTGGCCCCCCACTTCCCTGGAATAAAATCCCAGGTCTTTGCCACGGCCTCCAGACTGGGGCGGGCTGGCCTGCACCTCTCTCAAGAAGTGCCCTCGGCCTGGCGTGCCTTCCTGCAGATCGGCACGCCATGTGCCCGTCTCCGCTGCCTGCCTGCACCTTCCCAGGCAGGTGAGCTGCGCCCTGCTCACGCGCCTCCTTCAAAGCACCTGCGAGGGTTTGTGCTCCTCGGTGCATTGGTCCGTCTCCCATCCCGGACCGTGAGCTGGGGGTGCGGTGCAGGAGCATGTCAGACCCGTCCTTATCCTCGATGGCACCCAGCCACAGTGCCCAGGGCAGGGCACATAGTAGGGCGACTTATAC